AGGGGGGGGGGGGGGGGGGGGAGTTGAAGTCAGCCTTTCTGGTTTCTCATTATCCATTTGTGCTCTCTCCCTCCCAGTCTATGGCATCTTCTGGTACAGTAGATGGCATCTAGAAGGTGCTCAATAAATATGTGTTCATTGACTATTTTTTCTAATGCTGATGGATGGATTTTCATGAAACTCCAACTTACACTTCAAACAACAGTCCACAGAGCCTAAATTTCAAGAACAAATTTCCAATTCAAGACCTTTCCAATCCTTTCCTGCCACCTGGAAATCCATACCCCACCCCCATCCCCAGACCCCACAGAAACCATGTAGGCCACCATTGTCCAACAGAACGTTCAGTGATGAGGAAAATGATCTCTATCTGCCATAACACAGAAGCCACTAGCCTCATAGGACTCCTGAGCCCTTGAAATGTGGCCGTGTGACTAAAGAAATAAATGTTGAATTGTATTTCCTTTTAACTTGTACAAGTTTACATTTAAATGCCTAGCCATCGTGGCTAGTAGCTACGGTCTTGGGCAGTGCAGGTCTAGTCTGACAGGCACTAACCCACTAGTCGCTAACCCATCAGGTAGTCTGAGTTCCCACTGGATTCTGCCACTTCTTCCAAGTAACCCAGATATGGTCATTTGAATTCCCAAGCCTCAGTTCCTACAGCTCCTGAAATGAGGATGAGTACAATGCTTGTTCCCTCTACTTCACCAGCCTGGTGGGGCGATCCTATAAGATTCTCAACATCCTTTGGAAACTCTGAAGTTCTGTTCAGTTCTTAGTTATCACCTTCCCCACCCTGCTTGGTTCTCATGTTCAATCTTCACACTTGTCTCCTGATTGCGTGAGTCTTAACCGAAAGAACAATACAGGGTAGGAATCTAGCCTCCTGGTAATCTAACGGATGCCATGCCCTCATGTTCAAGCCTTGTTTTGTTTTGTTTTGTTTTTTGGTTGAAAGGAACAAGAATCCTTGCAAACTAACATAAGTAATAAGTGGGGGTAATTATACAGAAAGAGCCATCTGAGGAATCCAAGGGCAGGCATCTTTGGGTGGAAATGAAGGTGGCATGAAAGCCCAGCTGGATCATACTGGACTCTCCACAAAGTGACTTGCTTGTTGGTGGCGGACTGATGACCCGGGTCGTACAAGCTTAGATCTTGCTTTACACTCACAGTGTCAAAGACTTGCATCTAAGAACAATTAATTTTAATTTTCTGGAAATTTTAATTTTCCATCTAGATTCAACTGTCAAGTTGGTATATTAGACAAATTACTTTTTTATGTGACCTGCTTCAGTTTATTTTTCTGAAAATAAGCATGTCCAAGGACTATAAAGGATGTCACTAGAAAGAATGTGTGATAAAGGAAGAAAATGTGGGTTTGAGGGACTGTCTCAGTTCATTTTTGCTGCTATAACAAACTACCTAAGACTGGGTAATTTACAGAGAACAGAAATGTATTTTCTCACAGTTCTGGTGGCTGGGAAATCCAAGGTGCCAGCATGTTCAGTCGTCTGCATCCTTTTGAGAGGAGGAACATCATGTGCTCACACGGCGGCAGATGGGAAGGGCGAGCTAGCCAACCAAACACTTTGTGAAGTCTCTTTCACAAAAGGCTTCATCCCATTCATATGGGAGGAGCCCTCATGGTCTAAGCCCCTCTTAAAGACCCCATCTCTTCAGCTGAATTTTGGAGAGCACAAATTCAAACCATTGCAGGAGCCCTTATGCCCCAAGCAGCTGAAGTTATTTTATAAGGCTGCAAGAAAGAAAAGCTCTCATTTTATCAAAATATTTATCAATAAACGGATCACATAAAATTAGTCCCCCTTCTTGCTAACACCAGAATGATAGTCCAAATATTGACCCTCCAATATTGCACAGTTATCTCTTCACCATTCACATAGGAACAGCGTCCAGGGTGACCCCTGCTGGCCAGGAATTTACCCCTTAGTTGCTACAGTAGAGGAGGTGAGTAGATGGTGGCGGGGGAGCCTCTGGGCAGAAGTATTTCAATATTTTAATAAGCAAAGGACTGTATCAGTGCATATGGATTGAAAAGCATCCTGGCTTAGCACTAGCTTTAAGCCCCACACCCTAACCTTCCCCCCAAAATGTAAATAACTTTTTACTCGCAGTCTTTTGCTAAATGGGACTGCAAAAATTGCAACTCATATCATATTTCATGAAGTCAATGAAAGTGATGTAAAAGAATCATATGAATCACACTCATGCAAAGCACTGCAAAGATATGGCAGAAATTGACTGGCCATTATTGACAAAGATGTTCTAGGGGAGATGTTTGCAGTGAGAATGATTCCTCTGGGCCATATGGTATCCTGGATTGAATCCTGGAACAATACAAGGACACTTGTGGATAAACTGCTAAAATCTGGATAAAGTCAATAGATTTTAGGTAATAGTAATGTGAGGATGTGAATTTTTTAGTTTTGGCAAATTTTTTAGTTTTGGTTACATAAGATGCTAACACTGGGGGAAACTGGGTGGAGGGTCTATGGAACTCTCCGTACTGTCTTTGCAACTTTTCATAGATCTAAAATTATTCCAAAATAAAGAGAAGGATCAAACACCAGAGGATTAAGAGAGACCCTTGCAGTAGTTCATAAAGCCCTCACGTTTTTGCAGAATTTGCCTTTCTTTATGATATTGCAGTGTATCACAGATGCGAAGTGAAAAATAAGTATATTCCAGTTTGATTTTTTAAAAGCCAGATTTTTTTTAATATTCACTTGAAACAACCCAGCATACTTTACCATCCCTCCTCATCTCGCGCAGGGCAACCCCGGTTCTGGTGGTTGACGCCGGAAATTTTTTTTTTTTTTTTTTTTGAGTTGGAGTCTCACTCTGTCGCCCAGACTGGAGTGCAGTGGCCGCTCCCGGCCACCGCAGCCTCGACCTGCTGGGCTCCGGCGATCCTTCTGCCTCAGCCTTCCAAGGAGCTGGAACTACAGACATGCACTGCCACGCCCGGCTAATTTTTTTATTTATTGTAGAGATGAGGGCTTGCCAAGTTGCCCAGGCAGGTCTTGAACCCGCGGGCTCAGGCAGATGCCGGAATTAAGCAGCCACCATGTCAAGCAAAAAGGCCAAGACCACCAAGAAGTGCCCTCAGCGTGCAGCATCCAATGTATTTGCCACGTTTGACCAGTCACAGACCCAGGAGTTCAAAGAGGCCTTCAGTATGATTGATCAGAACAGAGATGGTTTCATCAACCAGGAAGATTTGCATGATATGCTTGCTTCTCTAGGGAAGAATCCCACTGATGCCTCTCTTGATGCCATGATGAATGAGGCCCCAGGACCCATCACCACGTTCCTCACCATGTTTGGTGAGAAGTTAAATGGCACGGATCCTGAAGACGTCATCAGAGAGGCTTTTGCTTGCCTTGATGAAGAAGCAACAGACATCTTTCCGGAAGATTACCGGAGAGAGCTGCTGACAGCCATGGGCGATCGGTTCACAGACGAGGAAGTGGACGAGCTGTACAGAGAAGCACCTATCGACAAAAGCGGAAATTTCAATTACATCGTGTTCACGCGCACCCTTAAACACGGAGCGAAAGACAAAGATGACTAAAAGAACTTTAGCTAAAACCTTCCGTTACATTGTCTTACTCTATTTTTTATTTTTCAGACACGTCCCCCGTCCTTATAGAACCTGTTGCATGCAACTTAGTTTCACAGCTTTGCTTTTTTTTTTTTTCTTTTTTGGTGTGTTTATTCTAGACTTGTCTTCCACCTAGCACTTATATAATCAGACTGGAAATGGGGATGAGGTTGTAAATTGTATTGAAAAAGAGATCGCAAATAAAAATCAACAAATGTGAAAGCCCAGGAAGATATATTCGTATTTCTGGCTTTGCTGGATTTTTACATGTTTATATAATAAAAATGCTATTTTGAAATTTAAAAAAAAATTTACTTGATTCGTTTTCTGTTCATGCCAAGAATGAGTGTCTATTTGCCATTAGAACCTAAATGTTGTTACATGTAAGATAATACATTCATTTTTTGTTTCATTTTTCAAGATGACGTCCCAATCCCAATTAAATGAATGCATTTTGCATCACCTTTTTCTGATCTCACTGACATGTGGGTAAGTGGCTATGTGGACCACCCACCCCCAGCAGCCTGGGTATGTATAGACTCCCTCCCCACCCCCAGCTTTCTAAGTGTGAATCTCTGAATTGCTTGGGAAGGAGAGAAGTGAGAAGTCCAGAGGAGACTCATTTGCTTTACATAATAAAAGAACCAACAGACCCTGGAAATGTTGCTAAGTAAAATATGATGTCACTTGGCTTTATCATCCCCAAGAGATCTTCAGGAAAATCAACTTTTGCATCAGTGCTTTGGAGAAGACGGGGTTTTGCTTTGAGATTTTATGACACCATATGTTGACACTGGCCTTCCAGGCAGATGTCAGAGTCCAGTTACATGTCTGACACCCTTGCAGTTAAAAATGTCCTCATCTCCTTCCCCCTCTTAGGTGAGCCCACAAGAAAGATGAAGCAGATACTACCACCTCATTTTGTGAAGGAGAAACTGAGACCCAGAGAGCTTAAGCAGGCCGCCTCTCTTGTTTAAGACCTGTAAACACAAATGCCTGCCTAGGCCAGGGAGAGAACTGGCAGTTCAAGACGTATGACTATGTTGAACAAGAAAGGTATGCCCCATCCCTAGGTGGCAACCACACAGAAAGCGCAGCCAGGACAGCCAGCCTGATTTTTCAAAAGAAGCCAGGACTCTGGATTTTTTTTGGTCAAACTGCCCCATAGCTCTTCTTTGTTTTATTTATTTTTTTTAACACAGAACAGAATTATCAAGTAAGTCAATTCTGTGGTCCATATACCTCCATCTACTTTGCAACCTCTAGATTGGGGAAATATTAAAATGTGGTTTAAACACATATAGGCTCCTGACACTTTGTAAAATAAATGTACTTTATTTTATATGAATGATCTCTACCTTTTCCTATCTATGTTGGCAAATTCAGGGTCACTGTGCATTTATGTTCATATGTACATAAACATATGCGTACCTCCATCTAAAGAGAGTGGTGTTCCCACTGAAGATGTTTAGTTTTCTTCCCTTTCTGCTCTTGAAAGTTCCCCATTCATAATCAGATCACCAAGGACAGTCACTTTAGGTAAATATTGAATACAAATTCTTTGCAAGGAGTTATACAGTTTCTAAGGAGTAGGCAGCAGACCCAAGGCACAAATGTTTACCCCTCTAGTCAAGTGCATAAGTCAATTATCTTTTTCAAAGAAGGCATTCAAATGTAGCTCTTCCAAGGTCCAACCATTTCCAAGGAAAAGTTCTTGAATTTTCTGTCAACAGATATCAAGGGAAGGTTAGCGATTTCTCTTACACTTCAACTTCCCCCAAGGACAAACGAAATAGCTACAAATTGGTCATTTTTTCTGAAATAGTAATGGCAAGGAAAAAAATAGATTCCCGGGCTAATTTATGGGACAGACCCATGGAAAAGAAACCTTTCTATGGCGGTGATTTGTGGATATACAGAAAGTTCTTTCCTGGGGCATACAAATGTGTGCTTCTCCTATTTTTACTCAGAAAGAACATTGAGGTCAAGACAAGTTCAGTCCCAAACAGTGGAGGTGACGCCTGAGCTTGCATTTTCCAGAAAGGCAGCAGGGAACAGCACCAGGGGCCAGGATGTTCATCCAGAATTCACTGATAAGCCAGGTAACCTCAAGTAAATCTCTCAACCTTCACGCTTGCTCTTAAACAGGCCAGGTGTTTGGAGAGTAAGTGAGGCTTGCTCTAGGAAGACTTTGAGCATTTTGGAAGACCTGGTACCCATCCAAGGCAAAGTCTCATTGTTGTCTGAGGCTATTCCCTCACTACTCTTGCAAGTGTTTCTGTCTGTTTCCTGCCCCTAAGTTCTGGGTTCTAATCTCTCCTGATCCTCAATTTTCAACTCCACAAGAAAAAGACATTTGTTTTCCTTTCCTGAGGTTGAATGGTTAGATAACTCCTCAGTTTCATCTTTAAAGGCAGACTTCTCTGCCACAGTGAAATGTTTCATCTGATGATTGGGAGCGGCCAATCATAACTTTCACAGATTCACCTTGACAACCCACAAATTGGACTTCAGGGCAAAGACCTGTTGAGGCTGTAGCCGCTTCTCTGATTCATCATGGGATAGTTCCTCCAAAAAGCAGTGTTTGACAAATCGACCTGGGCCACATGAACTTACTCCAAAAAGCAAGAGCACCACAGTCTGGGTCTCGGGCTGTCCTCTGCTCACACAATCCCTATAATTCACTGATATTCACCAATATGATGTTCACCAAAAAGAACTGGGTTATAACAACTATAAATAGTTATATGTATACTTCATATTTTAAGGACCCAGAAAATCAAACGTAGAGAAAGCTATTTTTCTTTGCCTTCTGCTCAACTTCAATGTTGGCTCACCCTGGACCAGTGGGAAAGCAGCAAAGTGACATGTCACTTAAGTTGCTTAAGGTCACAGTCATCATACCGCACCGCTCCAGTGGGCACTATTCATACTGTCTGCTTGCCCAGCCAGAAGCAGCCACCCTACTAGTAGGTATGGCAAAGATGGAAGGGATGGGAAAGGAAATTAGTATTTGGGAGATGCCTACTTGCAAGGTGTTTTTGCATGTTATTGGCAGGTCAGTAGCATTGTGGGGACACAGGCTCGTAACTAGCTGGGTGAACTTGGGCACGATTTTGCCTTTCCAAGTCTCAGATACTCATCTTTAATTGGGCTATAGGTTCTGTGTCATAATGTGCTTTAACTGTATACTTTATTTTTTAAAAAATGGGATTCAGTGAGTACAGAAGGTAACAGTAATCTCTTTCCTAGGGCCATCTAGGTAGAATTTGATGTCATATCCCAAGGTAGCCCCTTCAACATCTAAACCAGAGGGTTTGCACATCGGCGTAAAGGATGTTAGAAATAATTTTTTTTTTTTTTTGAGTTGGAGTCTCACTCTGTAGCCCAGACTGGAGTGCAGTGGCCATTCCTGGCCACCGCAGCCTCGACCTGCTGGGCTCCGGCGATCCTTCCACCTCAGCCTTTCAAGTAGCCAGAATTACAGGCATGTACTACCACGCCAGGCTGATTTTTTGATTTATTGTAGAGATGAGATCTCGCTGCCCAGGTGGGTCTCGAACCCGCGGGCTCAGGCAATCCACTCACCTCAGCCTCCCAAAGGCGCAGGATTACAGGCTGAGTCACCGAGCCCGGCTCTAGAAATAATTTTTATTTGGTCATTAAAGTAAGTGTTGTTCAAGACATGTGATTGGCTAGAAAGACGGAAGGAGCCTGCCACCCTTGCATGAACAAGCTGCAAATATCTGGCCTGACCATCATGTCATCCCTGAAGAACAGCGGCAATGTCCCAAGTTCCACTGGTCTTCTAGGTCTGTTCTGGAAGTCACTTGCCTCTGACCTGCAAACGGTCAGAGCAGGCGGTCTTGGAGTAAGCCAATCATACAGGGACTCAGTGGAGAACCAGAGGACAGAGTATAGCAATGTCTGTCTCTCCCATGCATTGAGTGACTCATTGCTACCCTTAGAAAATTATATCAGCTCATTAAGAGGTGACCTCCTTCGCCTGGGTGGGGTCCTCTTCAATGTTTAATAGCACCCACCTTCCATGTTTCTGCAAAAGTTGCTTCATACTTGCTGCACTGAATCAACAGCAAACAAATCACAAGATGATGAGTCTTGTGCAATAGTCATTTCCATCTTAATGTGAGAGCCATCCGTTTTTGCAGCAGCGGGTCATCAGAGGCTGCCGTACTCTGAGTGTTTCGCACATCAGGAATAAGAAAAAGGAAAGTTCCATACATTAGAGCTGCTTGTGTAAGCAAATAAATCAAATAAGGAATAAGATTATTAGATGGCCAATTAAATGACAGGACTACTCGGGCATTGTTAGCAAGACAATTAATTGTAAGTTTCCACTCATCTTCATACACTTTGTTGCCTATTAAGATAATGAATCGATTCTCTGAGATTGGGTCTAAAAGCATGTTTAATCAGACTCAGCAAAGGATCATTATTTTTATGACTTCGTGAAATGCATATTTTTGCTAAGCAATTTCGAAACAGGCTTTTCAAAGTTTCAAAGAAGAGAGTTCACACCCTTTCACAGAGCACCAATTGAAATCAGAAATTTAAAGAAAAATCTCATTATAAAGAGAATTTAAAAAAATAAATAAATAAAGAGAATAATTTTGGAAAAAGAACACCCAAATCTTCCTTTGATTTGGAAAATGCCTTAAATAGAGATTTCTGAGTGGAAGAATTTTTTTTTCTGGATTTTCCCAAGGGATCTAAAATCTCAACAACTAGGGTGTAGGCAAACCACAAATTACTACTTCAAGGTTTGAGAGTTTTTTTCTTTTTCTTTTTTTTTAATCTCCTCTTAAAGAAACTTCTCAAAAATGTGAAAAGGGGATAAGTGGGCCCCTTTAATCCCAAGTGACTAAGAATATGGAAGGGTAGGATCAAATGTATAAAAATCATAAAGATATACAAAGGAGAAAGAAGCATTGGCTTCTTATGAGATTCAAAAATACTAATGTCTCCCTTCCTGCCTGAGAACTTAAAGAGACTCTTTTAGGATCAAATAAAAAGGAGGCCCTATTTTAAACTTTTCTTTACACCAAGGTAGTAGGGAATAAAAATGCAACCAGCTTTCAAAAGGGTGAGATAAATC